ACGCGGGCCCTTGTGTCATACTGGGTAGCGCAAAAATTAGGATAACAGCACAGCCCTGAGAAGCTTGGGGCGATATTCAGTAATCATAGCAGTGTATGCTGTTCCTTAAGCTTCTCTGCCTAATGGTATTGTCGTTATTATTTACCTATTTAAGTAGTTAGACTTGATTTAATTTGCCTACGGTCAAATTAAATCGCAGGTGTCGATCGTTGCATTTTTGTTATGACTGTGAAGTTTTATGATTGACAAAATAAGTCAGTAATTTTCACTTGAATCAGCTGTATACTTCAATAAGGATAGAATCAATGTCGGATTATCTTTAAACATCTTTGCTCGTTAAATTTAATTTCAAATTGATTTTTATTGACATGCTCTTAAGGAGGGTATTATAAATCCATTTGAAAATTTAAAAGCTCTTTTGCAGTCGTAACAAAATTTCACTTTATATAAATGATACTTAACCGAATTACTGAAGAAAAATAAATGCACAACACGTTAAATGCACAAACCTATTTTAACATGAAAGTTTGATTTGGACTTGAAAAGAAAATTCCATGAATTTATATAGAAATAATTTCGAGAGCTTTACATCTGTGCTCGACCATCAAAAGAGAAGTTAACAATAGATGTCCCTTGAAACTGCATTATTCATGTGACTATAAAACAAGAATATAATTCTTTGAAATTACTGACAAATAATTAAAAGATGTATACACGTTCATTACTTCAGAGGCATTTTTATTAACCTCTTGACACTTTAAAACTGGGTCATACATGTCGTGATCCTTCAGAAGAGTTTCATCCATAATTGAATACTGTAGATCAGTACATTTTCGCGACATCTTATTTTTGTGAGATAGTCATAAGGTATTTATGAGCGAGACCAAATTATCACTCATTTTGGTTTTTGTATAAAATCCTTCATAATTCTCAATACGCCAGAATATTTTTCTCGAGTAGACAGGATCGCGTAATAACGCGAAAATAAAGTTTTCGCGAATAAAACCTGATTAACAGTATACCAAATTTGATTGATTAGAATTTGAGTTTCAAAATTTTTCCTCATGAGTTTGTATCTTAAAAACACATAGATTATTTCACTGACAGTATCTAACACATTTGTAGTTATCAATTCTACATATGTAGGATCACAAGTATGATGTTTAGGTTCCAGCTTAGCTGTTTGATAGAAACCGCTCCCTCACTTCAATTCTTAAGGGGCGAGGAAGCGAAAACCCGAGGGAGCGACAATGCACAATCAAGCGCGCAAGGGAGCGACAATGCAAAATCAAAACTCGAGGGAGATGCGAGGATAGTGACAACACAAGGATGACGTGTGTTTAAGATCGTACATGCCTTGTTGCATTCACTCCCTCGTGTTTTCATCCTCGCTGCCTTGATTCCTTGCTTTGTGGCTTTACCTCGCATTTTGATCCTTGTCTCTCCTTAAGGGAGTGAGTGACCCTCAGACATGTAATAGTAGAGCCCATATCCAAGCTTGGCAGTGCTCTGTTATAGTCACTAATGACATAAAATCCACATGGTATAATACAATGAAGCACTAGTGGATGAATTTGCATCCATTTATGTATTATTTACAACTCACAATTTGCAATGATGGCGATATCGTATTCTTATGGTATAGGTTCAAACTCGTCCACTTGTGATAAAAATGATTTCATGATACCAATATAATTATATTTATTGTATGCAAAATCTCACACTTTTGCTAAAATATAATAAAAGTAGATTTAATATCATTAGTGCATGGGTGCTGCAAAACTTGAAAATATTATGAAAGGCTAATATAATTATGTTTATAAGTTATTATTCATCATCTCCCCAAAAATCTAGTTGTTTTCAATTAAAATAAACTGATTGGTTATATACTAGTAAGTTAAGACCCATTCTCTACTGGCCATCCATTCATATACATATATCATACATTTGTACCGTTATGATTTTTAATCATTTAAAAAGGCATTTTTATATATATAATAAATTAGACTACGAAATTTTCCGTATACATAGAGCGGGTTTAACCGGTCGACAGGGGATGCTTAGTCCTCCTTGGCACCTGATCTCACCTCTGGAATTTTAAGGGGTCCACGTTTTATGCTCTTTTCAGACTCGTATTGCTTGCAGGTTTTTTGAGATCAATAACTGTTCGTCGTCTTCACCTTTTTCATTATAAACTTTTAAAAAAAAATCCAGAAAAAAATTCAAGAATAATTTGGAATCGAAATTGGAAAAGTGAAAACACAGATTATTTCAAATCAGAAGAAAACAAGATGAGATGGAAAATTTTCAGTTTCAAGCATTTAGAACAACAACTTCTTCCTATATTTCTTGTCGGGTTAGTTTCTTCCTATATTTCTTGTCGGGTGAAAACTAACATTGAACTCTTCTATAATATATATGATAGGTCTTTTTGAAGACTGAAAATGTTACTAGGAGGCTTGGTCATAAACCTTCAAGACATCAGAGACGCCTATTTATAATTAATCAAGCTGAGATACCTCAGATTCTGTGATCCTTGGAGAATTTTATCTGCTCTAGTTATTTCAGGTCAATGCTGTTATATATTTGCACCTAAAAACTAGTTTCTTATGAAACAATATCGTATACGCTGCATGTATAAGGCAACACCAGTTATCTCATCCTGTGTCCTATTAAGTATACTTTTGCACTTGACCATAAAGAACAATTTCTCTCCTTTTTTCATTTTAGAATAATCATGTAAAGTGAAAGATACTATAACTAAATTTAAAATTGAGGAAATGATATTAAATCAATACTTATAATGATTAAAAGGCCCTGAGAAATTTATACAGCAATTAGAATGCACAAAACCATAATAATTATGTATTTCATCAATGAAAATAAGATCGATAACAAACAAGCTTAAGCTACAGACGGTGTATGTCCCATACTCCCACGCTTTGTGGTTTTGTGATCATAGTATTTTCAAATAATCATTGACTCCTTATCCTGCAAATGTGTTTAAACCCAGTTCTTTAATAAAATATGAAATGATTTTAGGAGACGTGAAATAGTCCGAGATGATTTTAGTGAAGGTATGAAAGATTGTGCTAAAATGATCGCGGCAAATCAATCGAATTACCTTCTAAAGCCTTGTTTGAAATTTGACCAGAGACTTTTTATTTTTGCCTTTCAATCTATTATTTACCCCAATATTGACTCATTTTTTTAAATTCTGGAATACCTCTAATCTTTAGCGTAAATATTAATGGGTATATATACTCAAAATGTTTAAACTTAGTCACACCAATATCGACCTAAAGGTATAACAATTATTTAATTCGCCAAAAAATACACGACAAAGACTTCAATTTCTGATAATAGGTTACCTAAACATTCTGACACACTCTTCACCACTCTGTGAAAATGTCAGAAAAATTCCAACTTAAAACAACGCCAGAAGACTTTACTGTTAGTCACAGATTTTGATCTTGTAGTCTGTAAGTAAATTTTCCAACATTCCTCTGCAATGGGTCACTTAATAATAAAAGTATTTCAAGTACAATTAATACATTCATCAGGAAATGTTATTTCGACCTAACATTTTTTTTAGATCTAGAGATTCACATTCAATGAAATATTTAGAAGAATTTAAAGACATATTATGCGGGTTTAACATCGGGGAATTTTTGAAAAAGCACACAAAAAATTATTATGGACATAAAAAGAAATAGGAATTGCAATGCAATGTTGAATAGAGGTCAAGGTAAATAAAAGAATCTATATCCCATTAACGGACAGGTGATATACAGAGGCTTCAGAAATGTACTTCTTCAGAATTTTGATGTAGAAATGGTGCTTTCTGACAATGCAATGCGTGATTTCCTTATCGTTCAAACCTTAGTGCAAAGAAACCTTAGTATAATCTTTTGTTCATGGGTGGACATGCCGCAAAAAAGTTTATATAGAACCTGTCAAACAAACCAGTTTTCAAAGTAGAATAATTTGTTAAATATGAATGATTACTTGAACTTCTTTTTATGTTGTTTTGCAATTGGTTATTATTAGTTATCAATTTGTCTGGCGCCGGCTTTGATATTTCCAGTCTATGAATTATTGTGAACTTCACCCAAATTACCTTAATGCTGGAAACTTTGCATTTACTGAAATATCCGAAAACCTGTGGAAATATGTCTTAAGTAAAAAAAAAATTGGCATGAAAAAATTCTCTTCGATCTTCATTTTTTTTAGGGGGGGGGGGGATAAATATTATGAATGTTATAATTAAGTTGCATGTGACACGTGCTGGGACTATATTACCCTCAACATTAATATAAAATGTGTCTCTTCACTATTGATCTATTACAACTTTCAGTGTATAAGCCGATTTTGGCAGGTTTTCCTTTGCTTGATAAAAGAACACGTCTACAATGGAAATGAAATTTTAATATACATATTAAACCAATATTTTCAATTGTTACCGCAATACACATATGGCCTTTTGGTATTGTTTTCTTTCACCTTTTACACACAAAGACGGTATTAACCAGGGATTTGCTATTGTCTGTAAAAAGCCAAAAAGAGAATTATTATCGGCTAGTACCTCATAAACGCTCCGATGATTTGAAACGAATGGTGAAAGTTTATAGAACTTAAAGTGGAAATACTCTACCCAGTCTAACAATGTAATTAAAAGCGTGTGCACTACAATGTTCTTTTCAGACACGGAGTATTCATAAACTTGCAATAATTCTGTAGGATCTTTTATTAAAGATTGCAGTTGAACTTGTGATTTTGAGAGGGAAATAGAATTGGATTTGTCCTTTTAACAGTTCGTTGTTTATACAGACTAAATAGACCACACTTTATCTTGAAGATTGTGTTTATCAGTCTACATATGATTACAATGGCCGAGACTTTGAGCAAATTATGAAGAGAAAAACAAATGGATACACACAAATGTCACTAGCAGCTACCAGTAGCAGGTGTCCTATAAATATTGTCTTGTCCTCTTTTAGGAACTACTGAGACTAGATAGGGAGTTTATCAAAGAAATACGCCAGCTAATCCAACGGAATGCCATCACGAGAAAGGATCTAGAGAGCCAAATAGTGACACATATGAAGAAGACGGCAAACGTACGGGTAAAGGCGATATCAGTGGGCCCTGCTCCCCTGAAACATACACGCAGTCTCAATGATGCTGTTGGTGACACGCGCGCTGAATCGTCTGCTAACAGCAACAGCAGCAGACGAAGTGAGCCTGACATGCGCAAATGGAGGAAAGACCTAGATGAGGTGGGTATCGCGTGGAAATAAATTAAGAGCAGACAAGAGACATGTTTCGTGACAATTTTAAATCTTAAAACTAGAGAACTTTATATAGTTACTAACTTCAAATATACCCCATAAAACATACTGAGTTGACAAGAAAACGATTTTGATATATTATGCCGATAGAAAGTTAAACCCAAGTTAAGACTTTAATAAGGTATGTTTTACCCTCGGAGTGATTTTTGTAGAAAAGGTGAAGATTGAACTTTTTCTTGCTTTAAACAGCTGTCAAGTCATTATGCTGAGATTACGTATGACATTTTTTGACTAATACAATGTAATATCCAGTCCCGCTTAAAAGTCACGAAAGAGTTGTTTCATATCAATACTTAAACAAATGTTCTGTGTTTACTCAACATTTTCTCCAAAAGTTAAGAGTAAACTTTGTTTGACAGCTGTATTTCGTTTGAAAATATTCCAAGGAAGTACTCCTCTTGAACATTTTCAATACTACACTAAGATAAATCTTACCAATATTGAAAATAAGCATTTCAATTTGGTAGAAAGTACAAGATAAATAAATGATTTCTTAGTAATATTTAATAAGGCAGTTCTTAAAATGAATATTTTTTAAAGTGATAAAACAAGTTATTGTATCCTCCTGGTTGAAATATAAAAAGATAAATTGATAAAAGATCGGAAAGTAAATCCATTATAGGAAGTCCTGTTTAATAAAGATTCACAATAAAAGTGCTCCTGGAGGAAAAAAATGGCAGTGTGTTACCCAATGTTTATATTCTTTTGTCAAACAGAATGACACATGACTTTTCCTCTTCAATACGATGAGAGGTTTGGGGCATTATTGCCAAACAATATTACATACAAGTCTATTATAAATCACTATGTAAAAAAACCCGGTATTGCTTCCCCGCAGCGAAATGAATGATTAAAGACTACAGCTTCACCTAGCAAGGTTGGCTGCAATATGTATTTGAAGTACTTTGGTCATAAATAAGAGCAAATTTTATCTATTAAAATGTCCTTATTACCACATTGAAATTTGTTCATTGCAGAGGATATAATAATACGAGTAAGATTAAGCTTTATAGGGAATTTGAATACAAACGACAAAATAGATTGTACGAATTGCATACAGAGTGACTGTTTCGTTGACACAAAATCTTGCACCCCTAAAATATTCTTGACTTCCGGCTTTTCTCTTTTAACTATATAGATGGATATGCTTATATGATATTCAGTTTGATTTCTTATATTACTAGTAAAATATGAAGAAAAGATCAGTTGAAGAGTTTAACATAAGAAAAATGACGGAGAGAAAACATACAACAATAATACAATTTTATAATGGCCAGACCATCCCGTAATAAGATTGTTTCTGTGAACCGATTAACCGTTTTGATCCCAGTCTTTTCTGGATTAAGTCCCCTGGCCTCAGACGGGCTGCTCCATATTACTATTGGAAACGAAATTCTTGAACTCTCTCCAAAACTAGGAATATCAACAACACTTTAGAATTATTGGCGAATTATCTTAATAGGTAACCGGTGTTCTCCTTTTGTTACTAATTCCTTTTTTGTTTCAGTGGAAAATGTTTAAAAGAGATTAAATAAAATTTGGAATGGAAATTTACAATGGACCTTCCATTGGCTTTTTAACTGTTAAAATATGAAAAGCAATTAATCAATCTGAATTAAATGTTTCCTGACAAACTAATGAAACATAAAAGACAATACATTGTATTTAATGGTTATAAATGTTCATGTCACGTGACGTCATAATAAAGTTCACGTTTCCTTCGTAATTAATTATTGTTAAAATTGCCATTCACACACTTGCAATCCAATCTCACTGTTAGGTACACAATAGCTGTTGAATGTAACATTGCGTTTTTACCCCCAAGGCGATTCAAACAGAACAAATACCAGAGAGGGACTATGAATAAACTCGACAAAATCTGATAACCGCGTGCTTTAAAACAAGCCATATTGTTTAAAGATCATAAAACTTCCAGGCTTTGTACTGTTGTACTGTAACGACAATAGTATGTTCTAAAAAGGGATTTATTTAGTAATCAAAACACCTTATTCACTTTGTCATATTTGGAAAGAGTGTCATGCTTTCATTTGCAGAAGTTTCCAGACACTACCAGGCACAAATTAAGGACGTGGTCATTGCCCAAAAAAGTCATTTATGTGCATCGTAAGAAATTGAAGGTTGTGGAAGTAGACATTGGAATTGTTGTTTTGAACATATTTTATTGACAATGTGTCAAAAGGATTGGACACAAGTTCTAAAAACTTAGATAGTCCTCTCCCATACATAAAATCTTAATAGCCATACAACATTTACAAAGATTTACAATTTTACAATATTATACAAATATATTGGAATTGTTATGAAGACAATACATATTTACGAAATTTTTAGGAAAGAATATTTTGCAAAATATGGTTTGAGACTAGTTGGTTTCTGGCATAAATAAACAATCACAGAGTGTTTTGTACATATTATTTTCGAGTGTCTACTTGTTTTAGGAATTCCAAATTGTGAATGCAATTACGCTGTGTAAAATATATCAAAGTATGTCATTAATGCAGTTTTCATTTCCAAATTCACAGATATTATGAAACGAAAAATACCTACATAAATCTGAAATCATTATAGTAATTCCAAGCTTTCTTTTATCCCAGTTTTAGGAGTGTACTTTAATTATAAATTTGACAATATTTAAAGTGTTACACCTGAAAAAGTTCAATTACAGATAATGCATCAATATTAACGATCTTTCCTATAGTTTTTCTCTGAAGCAGGGTAAAGGAAACGGATTCATGGGACCATGGAAAAATAAGTGATTTCACACGCGACGAAGTTTACGACTAATAACCGCTCCCACGTTATATACCTCCGCGTTGATCTATAAACTCTTTAAATGTAACGAATTAGCCGAGCAAGTATTTTATTGTTGACATAAAGCGCTAGGGATTCTTTAAATGAGTTTCATGGGTAAAGAGTTGATTGTCAAAAAGCCCCAGGTTCTTTCAGTGCATACCACCAAAGGTCCGTTTGTCACGAGTAGTGTGGGGTTCACGATACATTTATACCCTTGAGGAAAAAAGTCGTTTAACAGGTGACAACTTGACCCCCAATCTGTTCCGGTGTTGGGTTGATTGTTCATCGACTCATGAAATTCATCCTGTATATATAAAAAGTGAGCGGAGATAATGTTGTTGATTTGACACAGCGGACTTGCGGGGGATTTAAACTCGTCAAAATGATGTTAATGGTTAGATCCGTCGATTATCATGTAAGTTTGATTTCACATTTATGATTTTTTCTTTTTATTGTATCAAAGACCGTATATGTGAACTTAAAAATATTTTTTCGATTAAAAATTCCGCGTTGCATCGTTATACTTAAAGAAAAAGAAACGACTGAAAATTAACCATGAAATAGATGACATAAAAATACATGTTCGTCTAAGGTGCATTTTTCAAAAGAAAAAAAAAAAGAAAAAAAAAGAAAGAAAGAAAGAAAAATGCACACAGCTTTGAAGGGCTCAAAGACATAGTCTGTTTATAAATGTTAAAAATAGAATCTATTAGATTTTCTCTAAATGAATTGCTAATTTTTGGAAATGCATATTTATAAATATATAAAACATTAATATACCACTGGTTACATGCAAGAAATGCTCTGATTAACAACTTGAGTGTCTTTGGAACGTGACATAAAATGTCTCGAGTGCCGTTATGTGCGTAAACAAAATCAAAAAGCACTTCAATAGCAAAATTTCAATTAGAGATCTGAGAGCAGTCTTTTAAGAATCATTTAAAAGGTAGACGTATTCAGAATATTAGTAGGCATATTTATCCCTCAAAGGAATTTATATCGAATCATTAAGTTTATAAACATGAGATGAAGTTTTTTGGGGACCTGGTAATAACGTCACACGACTGCGAATAATTTCGTTAACAGATTGAATTTTGATTAACTTGAAAATGTGGAAAAAAAACCGTTAAGCTCTCAAGTGAAGGGTTTAAATCTAAAATAAGAGCACACAATCTAAATGCATTAGTCTAGTAAGTGACATCCACTTATTATCAGACAATGTTTACCTTCAAAACGCAATACCGGAGGTTACACGGGGTCAAGGAATTTACGGGTTTTATTTCAACTTCAGCATGATCTTCATTTGTGGAACACAATATAGAATTATCATTGTCCATTTTCCTTCAACCCCAGTGCATGAACAGCTTAAAAATTAATCGGGTATATTTGTTACAGAATACCAGACAGAATGGGATAATGACCCAGAGAGTGATGACGGGGAAAAGACGAGCAGGTGCCCCTCAGATGACGGGACTAGCGCCAATGGAGCCGCTGTCTGAAGGGGCAGAGGAGCATCATATACTTACTAGAGTAGAAGAGGTACCTAAACAAATTCCTACATACATTGTGCATAAACAAAGTTTCCATATGGGTCTAAGAATTAATGGGAAGTAGTAATTCTAATTTTTTATTTATAAAACATAAAGGATTTCTTTTGTACATCAAGTTTAGGGTGGAGGTGGGGGGGGGGGGGGGTAATTGTCCCTTTGGGTGTTGCTTATTGTTTTGTTTATAAGAAATACTTGTATCTATTTGTACGTGAAAATTTCTACAGAAGAGATGGAAAGAACTACAACTACAAGCAAAGCCCCTGTTATGGGATATTGTTCTAATTATTAACTGTTTAATTTTTGTGCAATTGTCCTATTTAGATTGAAGGTAAAAGTAGTGTAAAGAGTCGTCCGGATAGTGGAATAGCTGTCAGTATGTCTTCCGGAAGTTACTCAAGCTACTCCAGCTCTGAAGCCACCAAGGAACCGGAAACAGACGACATCGACGAAACTTGTTTAACAGAAACACCCGAGATGATTGATCGCGTGGAGAAGGTAATTAATATATTTTACTTCAATAGTTTTTACTTTTTGTTGGGAGTTTCGTTTATTTTCTCAAAACCAGCAGTGGATATCTGACGACTAAGACAAAAAAATTCTTATTCTCAAATGTATCCAAGCTATAATTATTGTAGGTCACAAAAAATCTTATATTTCTATTATATTTGAATGAAACATATATGGATATAAAGAACAGTATTCAAGCTTAAAAGTCCATTCAAACAACACAATTCAGGAGAAGAGCAAACGCGGACACCTAAAAGATCAGAGGTGGGATCAGGTACCATGGGGGAGTGAACACCCCCTGCCGACCGGTCACACTCGCCGTGTGCTCCTTGTCATGATCGGGAAATAACGGAAAAATCCGTCGACAAATTAGTGTGTAAATAATGGCCTAACAGTTAGTATGAAAAAACGTCAGTCAGCATTCGACTTAGTGATAGATTGTATTTGCTGACAAAGTCATACATGTAGTGTCGACCATATAACTTACGAAATGATGACTTTAAACGAGACTGTTGATAATCTTGTTTCATCAACTTGTTTCTCAATAACTTACCTCGTTTTAGAAATCTTTCATACGTTCATACATATATTGTAAATAATCCTTCAGAGAAAACATAATACCTTTTAAACAAAGAAATTATGTACAGAGTATTAAGATTTTAATCTTTGTTTTTTAATGAAAAAGCCTACAGAGCTGGTACACTACAGTCTTTAAGTGTTCTTGTTTATTTTAAAATAAAGAAGAATTATTATAACTCATTTCAAGGCGCTTTTCTTTTAAAGGTGAAGCCTGAAAGTCATAGTGATGTAAAAAGCCTCGTTGCTGCCATAACTAAAGGTCTCATGACACAACAACTAAAAGCACACGCTCTCTACTGCTGGTTAACAAGTCTCGACCTCTGTAAGCTTCCAAAGGGCAAACATAAAGCAACATCTCCTGCTACAAAGGTGAAGATGTTAGCTGATAAAAAGATGACATATGCACAATTTTACCAGGAGCTTTGCAAGTAAGTTATACAATATTTTATCAAAAATTATCAAAGTTTCTCGTACGTACATAACTGACTTACTTCATTTCATGCTGTTGGAAAACAGTCGGAACACTTCATATCTTATCAAATATTGTTCTGTAGGGCGGCAGGAATAAAATGTGAGAAAGTGGAAGGATATGTTAAGAGCCAGGACTATTTGCCAGGAAACACTGTTCAGTCATCTAAATTCCAGCACACGTGGTGTGCTGTTCAGTTAGATGGACATTTCCGATTGGTTGATCCTCAATATGGCGCCAAACGTGATAGAGATAATAAACACGAAAGATTCTATATGGATCACTATTTTATGACGTCACCTGATAACTTTTTGCTTTCTCATTATCCTAAAGAAAAGAGGTGGCTTTTGATGAATCAGACCTATTCAATTGAAGGATTTGAGTCCATGGTCAAAACTTGGCCAGCCATGTTTCACTTTAATATCCGTCCATTAAGCATGAAGTCTGTGATTCGGACTTACGATGGCAAACTCAGCATTACTGTTTTACTCAGAAACGTTGCTGTGAATCCGTCCCTAGAGTATTCTGGTCCAGGACCGGAACTTGATGCATATAGTTTGAAAGAGAACATTATTGAGGAAATAAGAGACGCTGAAAACGCCGAAACCTTCCATATCACTTTGCCACAAGAAGGAAACTATTATTTTACTTTAGACGCCCATGTTTTGGAGGTTGAGGTTGATGTGCCAGTATTTCAGTGTCGAATTGAATATGTCGATGAATTGCTATGATTTTGCCATATTTAGATATCAACATTTAATATTACGAAGCATGAACTTAAAATCAAATATGTGTACGAGACTCGACCAGATAAAAATGAGTATATCATCTTCCAGTGAACAATGTCTTTCTGAAAGACTGTTATAATATATAATTGATTTATTTTGATATGCCCTAGGCATTGCTTGTTGGATATTTATTGTTGTCGTGTGAAAGATTTTCCCATTCGCCATCCTCAGTATTTATTTTCATCAAATTTTCATTGATATCACTCTTAATTTCAATTCTTTATAGAATGTTTTGAAAAAGTGAAAGTATACTAGTCTACCGAACAGATATCCTTATATAGAAAATGATGAGGGTCAAATTTTTACCAACAAGTGCTGTGTTATCATTTAGCATTTTGAAATCAAGCTAGATTTGCTAGAGATTGCCTTATCTGATATTGATGAGATGCCAATAGAATGCACAGCTGATTTCTGTTTACTTTTTGTGAGTTTGTTATCATCCGTATGAGCGTTTTTGTTAGAAGTGCATATTTGGTGCCATGCAATATTTGTTAAGTTTTTTTCTACTTGTGTGTATATAGTTATATTTTTCCGAAATCTGGAACAGGGACGGGTTGAATATTATTTTACCTTAAAATAATTAGCATCTTTACCACCACAGTATTTGAATATGTAAAATAAACGTCTTGAGTGCTCTTGAAGACAATGTACAGCTAATTTGTTATTGACGGACAATGAAGTGACCCTGATTTTGTAGTGGTACACTCGCACCGAATATTTTTTAACTGTACATTGTTTTCGCTATTTAGTGTGTACCTTTTGATAAATTTATAACAATGTATTTCGTGTGACTTCCTTTTCTAGTAGATGATAGTCGTAACAAAATTTGTAATACATTTCACATCTTTTTTTTTATTTAAACACACAACACCGTACCTTTACTATGGTTTGCCAAATGCATGTTTTTATGTTATTTTCCAGACACAGGACTGAGGTGTCTGTTGAACTTAACAACTTTTGAAAAACGTGTTGTTGGGCTGGAAAAAAATTGTTTTGAAATGTTTGGGTATGACTTGAAAGAGCACTTGTTAATCTAAAAAGAGCGAATGTTGAAAAAAGAACGAATAATTACAGTTTAGTTATTCATCAATGTGATTGTATAAACGTATAATTACGTTTGGAGTGACATGTAATTCCGATGCAAGACACACATATCGGAAATCTAAATAAACAGCATTATTTACATCATTGTTTATGGATGCCCTTTGAAAGTTAGTTATACGACAGGGGTTTTATTGTTCAGTAAGAGAACTGAACAATTTGACAAAACATTTACAAAGAGTGCTTGAAGAATACATTACATTATACCTCGTGTACTTTGTGCTACATTCATTTTGAAAGTAGAAATCCTGTGATTGGTTGATTAATTTGATGAATACATTGTTGTTTCTGTTTATGCATTTAAGAATGATTTTTTTCTTACGAAATATCTTATACATTTACTTTGAAATACGTCCATTACTGTGTTGGAGCTGTGATAGACATTTGGTTATACAAATCAGTGTATATATATAAAACGTTATCATTAAATTGTTGCTTCAATAAACATATTTTTCATTAAAAAAAATATTAGTGTTCACTTTTGTATTACACAAGCTTTGACACGACATACTTTTACATGAAATGAAGGGTTACGTATATTTGTGTCCAACCTATATACTAGTAGTTGAAAAGACAACAACATTCAAAGCAGAATAGCAGCAACAAAACTCAAGTTTCTTTTTTATCTGACGTCTTTTTATCTGTAAAGCAAAAGGAAAAGTATCAAGTTAATACCAGGTTTATCGGTCTATGTAAATCGTTTACGTGGTTAGCACAACTTGTAATTTAAAACGTAAGTTCTTTTTTTTCAATATATATATTTTTGTGAATAATGATAGGAATTATTTCATAATATTTACTTAGAACAAAAAAATCCGATTTTTTTATTGCAGAGTACAAACATTTATGATATAACCTGTTTTGGTTAGCTGGTAACCAATGGAATATTGTAACAACTTTTGCCAAAACCAACTCACTGCATGATAGAATGTATCACAACTTAATCGTTAAATCATAATCCACTTATAAGTTTAAACAGTGTTTCCCTCACAATAGACACACTTCATGGACACGAGCCAAAGATTTAGGAAGTTGACAAATCTAATTCAATAAAGAGTTCTCCTTTTTCCCGAACATGACAAGGAGCACACGACGGGTGTGAGAGTACAAAGTTGATTTAATTTGTTACTTATACCAAATAAAAAAAATAACTAATTGTGCAAATAGATTAAACTTAATTCTAAATGTTATTTAAACATCATTCACACATTGTAAACTCTCAAAATATAGAGATATCATCACATCGTATCTATACATCCCGTATTTAGGATAATTATACATTTATTGATTTGGTTAAAGTGCAACATGAGTTTTATCGGATTCGAGAACAAATATGTTTGCTAGAGGTTGTTAAGCCGAATGCAACACTTTGGTTTGAAAGTTTGACCAAATGGAATCATATTGCATAAATTTTGCAGATATTTACATTGTAGGCAATCTAATTAAAATTGGAGCTTTGATCTGCTACAACTAGATCGCTACACAAGTTGGAGCGGATCAAATATCTAATTTTAATTAGATTGCATTGTAGGATTCCAGCGTCCATAATATGGGTGTATGAAGAATGGTTGCCATACTGTTCACTTGATAAAAAAGACTGAAATTGGACAAAAGACTTGTTGCAAAATATATAATAAATATTAATCAAAAGGAATAACCACGCTGAAAAATTGTAATAATATTAGGCAAAATAACTGTAAGAAATGGACAGTACAATGCTAAGTATTACATATATACATGTATAAAGTAAAAGGTCGTGAAGAACATGCTACAAAAGCCATATATATACAACTGGGAGGGTCGATACAGCTGGAAAGGAGAAAATGATGTACAAGGATCTCCATAAGGAATAAACTTGTTAATAACATGAGGTAATAATCTACGCTTAAGACTTTGACTCTCGAGATCTAGAGGAATTTATTCAGGGAGTCAGGGAAAAGACGGTTAAAATAAATGAAAAAGGGGTTAGTATTAAATATTATGCCCTCCAAACTCTCATTCCTGATGTGCGTTTTTAATGCTCATTTTATTGTAATACCCAGAAAAAGTTTAAATCGGAAAGAAATGTTTTTGACCAGATATTAAACATCTCCCTCAAAATAAAGAATCCTGGATCTGCCCTTGGCTTCCGAAGAAAGAAATGGCAGCAATAGAAACATACACATAAAAACATGGGGAGTTCATGACAAATTTTTTTTTTCTTTGAACAAAAGATGAAATCTTCATTCTTATCAACTGACCCACTTAACCAATGCCTGAAATATTTCAAAGAAAAGACATGAATATTTTATCAATCTCTTTAGTCATCATCTTTTATGTACATAAATTTTTCATCATTGCATTAAAGATGTGTTCCCTGGCTTGGAGGCAAGACCCACGCACCTTAAATATGTATAATAAGCATGAAAAGGGGGATTAAATGGGGCTTAGATGTTAGGAATGGGTATACGAAAAAAAAAAAGACAAACATTATGCATCGAAGAGATATCTTTTTTGCCGTGATGCATGTAGAATATGCAAAGGAGAGAGAGAGAGAAAGAGAGAACCCTTTAAAACGTCCAACTAATAAAAATAGAAATACTTTTATTAATAAAATGCTGCTTTATTTGGCAAAACCCATATTAGTAATGATCCTAGATCATACAAACAATTAATATACATGTATGGAAATATGTTACAAGTTATATCTTTAGTTTGTAGTGAAAAGTTGTATACATTTATTGACTAGGTTCGAGGACAACGTCATGCGAGAATCAACTTTATGTTATAACGAATCTCTCGCTGATTTCAATGTTTGTGATGGAAATGACAAAATGTTGATGAAAATTCCGTTTACCCACACTTCAGATTTATCTCTTTCAGTTCCGTAACTGTCGAAAACCAATGAATGTAAATAAGATCTACCTTTAAAGAATAAAGTGTGACGTAAAAAAAAAAAAGTCAAATCGGTCTAAACATCTGGTCCAACACCTCACCAAGTGGTTCAACGTCGATTTTATTTGGACCGCTCAGTAAAACGTAAGAAATGTTTGATTTTTTTTTTAAGTATAATTATTTTTATAAAAAAATAAATATAGGTTTATTGCCTCCTCTTTAGTTCCATAATCTGTTTCTTACTAGTATTGTGTACCAACATGAATGAAATTGTTACACCCAAACTTGCAAACATAGCTTTAGTGACCTCATGTTTCGGATCTCGAAGGACATTTAAAATACTATATCTAGATTTATCATCTAAGCATAGAAAAAGGATGGGAACCGTATAGCATAGTGACAACGAGTGATCCCTAAAAAATCCCCAAACTGCGTTAAAACTTCAGCAGTACAAGTGTAGGCCTAATTTGTTTCTAAATTACAAAGGGGAGATAACCCAGTATATGTTATTGCGCTTGCTTACAAGTGATGTCACAGTAAACTGAACTAGATTTCATAAACTTGTCCAAGAATTTATTCCATCTACAAAGAGATTTGCATGATATTGTTTCTTCTTAATTTTTAATTTTGTCAAACCACAGAACCAACATCTATTTATGTGTTCTTATTAATTTTCGCATTTATACTTGTATTATTATAATTATCAGTCATATATGTTAAATGCAAACTTATAATATCATCAGCTCATTTATATTTTTTTTCCTACTTATTTTGTCTTCTTCTTTTTTTTTTTTTATATAAATCTCTTTAGAATATACACATGTATATATTTTTTTCAATGTTATGTAATTAATATTTACTTGTAACATGTATGACTTGACCTGTATTGTGGAGAGGACTTATATAGACAGTACCTGCTGTCCAATCCATAATAAAATATTGTTTAAATTGAAAAAAAAAATTCAGGACGCCGGTGCATTAATCTTTATCTCTTGTAAGTGATTATAAATTGAATTATTTTAGTTTCTGGAATATAAGTTGTCTGAAGAATTTGATGAGTTTTGAACCAATTGAGCCATTTTCATCAGCAGTAGTTTTACAAAAATATAGTAAGTTTGTGATCCGATATTTACTCTGAACGCTTCATCATCATTAATACCCCTTAGTACGTCAAATCTGCATGATTTTTAGCAAACAGAGATAATTGATAACATATGTTATCTAACTTACTATAAGCATGCCTAAGCTGGATATTTCCTCCGGGCATTTGATCTAGACAGTACACGTGTGTTGCATGAAATATTCGAGAGATAAAACTGTGTCAAATTAATAACATCATTGTAATTTGAATTGAAAAGTATGTCACGCGTATCCCATGGGATAACACTGCAATACTAGGGCGGAGTAGTATAGAAATTATATCAATATTGCTTGTTTTACCTCTCAATATTTGTTTTCAATCTTCCGAACAAAATGTAAGGTTGAATTGACTAAATTTTTCTCATAAGCTACTATCTAAATAAAAATTTAAACATATTGTATTCATGAGCGAATCCCCAGTAAGCTGCAATACGAAAATATATTCATGGTTTCTAAGTGTCAAGGGAAAGAATGTCTATAAATATGTCTCATACATCTTTTTTTTTTTTTTTTTTTTTTTTTTTTGTTATTTTTACATTAAAATACTTTATTCAATGTTGACCATTTGATTTATCAATTTTATTATATTTTTAACAGTAAAATATGGTCACAGCCTATGACACTTCTTTTTGAAAATACAGAGGCAAATGGAAAACCAAAGAAAATGTAATAAACAGAAAATTCAAATGTCTGATTTGGAACAAATTTCACTCGTGGGACAGGATTTTTTAAATATTTTTACTCGTGCTTCGCACTAATGAAACTATTTTTTTTTTTAAATCCTATCCCACTTGTGACATAAATTCCATATCCAACTACAAAACATTAAGTATTCTCTATAATTATATTTATCGAAAGACTAGTTGGAAATAATTATGACTCAGGAGATACGTATACCTCCTAACGCTTGAAATTCTCAGAAAATTCAGGAGCTGCAAACATCCTTCCTCATTTCTGTTTTTAATTTTAAAAGAATGTGCTTTCCTTAATTAGAGGAAATTAATTCATTAATTAATTACAAATTATTTTATAGTTATCGTCAGACAAGTGAACAGCATTATCAGGTTATCCTCTCTGTATGGGATTGATTCGTTATTACACTGTTATTCTGTAGGTTCCATGTTGAAGTTCAGTAAATGATAATTATTTATGACCTAAATGGTGTTACCTATCATGTACGGAAATTCACAATAAGGTCAGTAAACCTGTATACCCAGTGATAACATCAATAATTAACATTGGTCTGTGATATGCTTCAATAGAAACAGATCCAGAATGTTAGAATATAATTATGTAATGATTTTCAATAAAAGGTCGTTGAACCTTTAGCATAGGGTTATGTTGAATATATGTATAATTTTGCTATAAACACCATTTATTATTAAGCTCCAGACCTATAAACTGTAAGGTTTGAAATGCATGTAAAAAATATGTCGCATTGTTGGATTATACATGTAGGCTTATTCGTACTTATTGTACTGATTCCAGGTTTTCTTGCAATATGTTTGTCGCTATCTTAATTTCGAGTAGGTTCATTATCTGGTGATATTTATTTATAATTATGATGGGTTACTATGTACAAAAACAGGAAACAATACAAAATTGAGTGTATTTGTAGGGCATATGTCAGACGTTGCAATATATTTGATCTTTTCCATTGCATTCTATAATTTTCCATCCGCATTGTATATTTCACAATTTATAGCGTAATTGTTTTTTATTCAATTTTATTGTATCGCATATTTTCTATTTGTATTGAATGTTTTTCATTTGTATCGATTTTTTTTATTTGTACTGTGCATTTCACAATTTTTATGCAACATCTTTTTTTTTACTTGTATCGTATATTTTCATTTCTATTCTAAAGTTTCTATTTGTATCTATTTCGTTATTTAAATTCTATAATTTCCATCTGTATTGTATAGTACATTTGAATTTTATAATGTTTCAATTTAAATTGTATGTGAATTCCATTTGTATTTGATAACAAAATTTATTTTAATTCTATAATGTGAATTGTGGGATGTCTTTTTTCTATTTCACTGATGGTTTTATCAAAATATTCAATACAAATGGAAAAATTATACAATACAAATTAAAATAAACAATACAAATTGTGAAAAATACGATTCAAATAGAAAATTATAGAACACAAATGAAAAAAAAAAACAAAAAAAAAAAAAAACAAATATTTTACATGCCATATATTTGTCAACGTTCGAACTGACTTACAGTACAGAATATTGTCAAAGTGGAGCTTTTTTTTTTTAAAGAAGTCATTATTATCAGATAGGCTTCAGTTACATTAAAATTTTTATAAATACTCAGTATGAAATGCACTTCTAGAAAACATATTCTGACCAACCGTTTCTTTCGAAGTTTCTTTCAAATATAGCATTATCTACTTTTATTTTATTTACATTCCAGTGTTTTGGTTTTTGAACATATTTTTATTCACAATATAAGGGTGGATGGTGCGAAAAAATCATAAAGAAAGTAAAACGAGTGAGTAAGCACAAGACGTTCATATTTAAAAGTGTAAGAGTTACAAAATTATTGAGGATACCCTCTTTGGGCTTAGCCTTATTTGCCTTTCTTCATTTTTCACTGCAATAGAGTAAATTGCCATAATTTTGTTTGTTTTTTTTTAATTCATAGTTTGATCTTATTAATGCACCTTTTATCCAACGGAAATGCACTTGTTCTTTAATTAACCAGAATTGAAAAAAAATATATTTAGTTGTATCAAAACACAAAGAGGTACTATACTATCGGACAGTCTTTCTGTAAAAATTACTGCAACAGATCTTTATGAAGCTACATACCTTACCCCTCTCCCACCCCATTTTATACAAAAAAGCTACAAGTACATAACATCCACTTTTATTGAGATCAAGCCATGATATACGAGGGTTGTTCAATAAGCAATGCAACATACGGTTGATCATAATAAATGTTGAAACAGTTAATTTTATTTTTTCACACAAGAAAAATTTTACTTAAAATCTCCTAGGCTTCACTGAGCTCAAAACTGTTTAAAAAAAGGTCTCTGTTAAGAAGATGAAAATGAGGGCTTATGTGAAAAATGCGGTTAATTACAAAAATCGCTGAAGAACCCAAATGAAAATATGGTTTTGATATCTGAAAAGACTAGTCTTTCACGCAGTACGGTGTTCAGGTGGATTAGAAAATTCAAAAGTGGAAAGGGGAATTTAGAAGTTCGCAGTCGAACAGGTTGATAGAGATCTGTAGGAACACCAAAAAATGTCGATGCTGTGAGCAACATGATATCTGAAAATGCCAGATTTTCTGCGAGAGACGTTGCTAAGACACTAAACATTTTATCATCACAACAGTTGATTGAGTTCTGACGAAGGATATGAATTTAAAAAAAAATATTTTTGTCAAATAAGAACATTATTTTCTTACAGATGCCTACAAGAAAACACGCATTAAATGTACCAAATGTCTATTTAAATATAAACATTTTTAACAAAAGAAGGTATGATAAACCTGCTTGATGGATGGCGATGCGTGATGGGTGGGTGCACTGTTTCTAGCCAAAATGAAAGGTCAATGATAAAATATAGAGAGGAAGCTGTTGCCCTATTATTGCAAAGAGAAGCCGTAACTCCAAACAGGTCTTAAACGGGTTTTCCTTTAACTCGAGAGATCCAATAACACATATACCTACACCCAAACGAAGGACCATAAAATGTTGTTTTTATGTTAAAATTGTATTAAGGAAAGATGAGCAGGAGTTCAAATACTGGTACCAGTGGTGATTTTCTTGTAGGTGACAACGCTGATGTAAATAGGCATAGAGATGTAAAGGAAATTTTGAAGAAAGGAACGATTGCAGAGCTTAGCCATCCTCCGTATTTGTTAAATCTCAGTCATTGTGACATTTTTTAGTAAAAAAAATTCAAGAAAAACATGAAACGAAAACGCTACTATTTTAGATCTGTCGAGGGAAGTGCTATCCATCAATGTCTCTTGGGTTAGCCCCAAAAAGAGTTCGCTGAGTTGTTCCGGTTAAAGGTAGAAACTTGAGACGTGTAAAGATTAACAGGGGATTGAATATATAAAGGAACTGCTTTCTGTGCTTTTCTTATTTTTTGATGATTTTTTTGCATTACTTATAGAACAACCCTCCTAACTGTCTACAGTATCATACGATAATGTACAAATTTATAAATTGTTTTAAAAAGTTTGTATAGGTTTGTAAATGACAATATAAGTTATCAACAGGTCCACAGAATCAGTTGTGGAGTCTGTGAGTTAGCATGAGGCATATAAACTCTTGAAAGTGTGGAAGGTTGCCCATCATGCTAACATGGAAATATAATGTATTCTCTAAATTGTCCATTATATTTATCATTCTTGTCATTATTATTATAAGTTTATTTAGTAAAATTCAATCTTGTTATACTTAGCTCAGAAAAAAGTCTCAACTTGTATGTATATTCTTATTTTTCTATATGCAAAAATAATTATCAAATCTCAAAGAATATTTTAAATCAATGACTTATTTATTTATTGTAATGTAGCTTATCTATACATTACTTTTACTATTGTTTGTTTGATATCAATAAAAATCAAGCTATTTGGTAAATTACAGTGTACAACCAACTTGTCTAAGCATACCAACAATATCAGGTTGATTCTCAACATAAGCCAGTGAAAGAGGTGTATATCCATCATTCATTTCTGAGTTTAAATCGAGGCCTTGCAAATGTAGAATGTACTTGAGCAACTGCTTATTGCCTGTTTTTACAGCGTTGTGTAGTATTGTCATCCCAAAGAGTTTCTCCCTTTCATTCACGTCTGCTCCGTGACTAAGCAAAAGACGCATGACGGAAAAATGCATTCTATCTGCAGCTAAATGTATGCATGATTGCCCTGCATAATTTGGGATTGATATACACTTCTTAACAATTCCTCTTTCTACATTCTCCAATAAAGAAGGTACAGTTGCATAAAATCCATATATGCAGGCGATATGTAATGGTGTATTGCCATTTTTATCTACAACTGACAAACTCGCACCACATTCAATTAGAGTCTCAACAACATCTAAATGTTGTGTATGGACGGCCAAACAAGGAGGTGTTTGTAAATTGTTATTTTGAAGGTCGGCGTTGACAGCAGAAAGACACCTAATAATATAGATAGCAACAGGAACTAAGTCTTGTATAATAGCCATATGAAGCTGTGTATCACCATCTTCATCTTCCTGAAGCATTTTCTGAATATTTGGATCCGAAATCCCGCATGAAGTCCAGAAACTGGCTTGATTGGCAACTGTAGGTATTAAAGACTGATGGGGATCCTCGCCTTCTTTTGGGATTTCTGTTACGTGGGCATTTTGTTCTGGAATTGCATTGGATGAGGCTAAGCACTGATCTGCTTGTGCGGATTCCGGAGGTGTAAAGCATGAGGCAGAGCACCGATCCGCTTGTGCGGATTCTGGACTTGCAAAGCATAAGATGGAGCACTCATCTGCTTGTGCAGATTCCAATGTTTGGTCATTAGAGGATTGAGAATCTACAGTAGGGGGATCCTGGACCAGTAATGGAATTCCACAGATGTAGAGGCAGAAAAATAGGTGGAACTATGATCTGCCTGAATATCCCTGTAAGAGACTCACAGACGCCACCATCAGTTTCAAGACTCAGATCTGAAAGATCCATGTCATGAATATTGTGAATTCTGTCATCCATCGGCCCTTTCGTACAAAATAAAATATGAGAGAATATTAGTCAGAAAGTGAATTCCTTAATGTAATATTTTAGACAGTTAAGTAGATATCATAAAGCAAAAGATGCAAACACTACTTTTTATACAAATCAGTGACAAAATATTAAGTTTTTCATTTTATACGCTAGGTAATATTCGTTATTAAAAACTGATTATTCAACCTTGAATAGTTTAAATTTAGGAAAACCGTTTCTTTAAGATATGCTTTCATCGATGAACATAAATTAATTAGACTTTTTTCTATGCTTTTTTAAAGCTTAAATGAATAAAAAGCACTAAGGCCTAAATAGAAATCATTAACAATTCTAATTTACCCCTCGGTTTATGTGTATCAACATACTATCCAACTTCCTTAAGTTCACCGAGGCGACCGGTTTTCTTTCTTACAGAATTTTCCCTGATAACCTGTGAAGAATTCACAAATGTATAATCCCTTTTTGTAATTATTTAACTCAGCTTCGGCAAAATAAAACACAATAAACAAATAGTACTTCTTCATAGTTATCACTTTCATTTCGAAATACATTTCCATATCTTAAATTTAAGAAAATACATGAATATACATATGCAACGAATACATATATTTTGATAAACCTTATGCATAAAAACATTCAAACAAGTGAATACAGATTAATATGATTAATTATCAATCAAAATACAAACATACTTACCATGTTCTATTATTATATCCCTGAGAAACACATCATTGGTAGACCAGTTAAGTGTACATTGTACTTTCGATTTAGATATATTTATGTTTCGACCTATATCAGGTGCGATTTCAACACTTTACTAAATTCAATCTCAAAATAAATTCCTGTTATCAAATTTATTTAATTTTTAAATGCAGTTGTCGCGTAAAAACCTGTCCTCCTATTATCATGTGTGTACCCGGAAGCATTAGGACCAAAAAAGATAATTACGCGTTATCTGGTGATATCCGGTATTCATTCTTGGGGACTAAATGCATGTTACGTCTTAATAAAAGGAAGTATAATGCACTCAAAAATAACTTGAAATCAATTTCTGCAAATTTAAATTATTTATAAAATAGATACCAAGTTACATATACAAGTATGGTATATTTTTGTTCATAGACTGATGTACGCTTTCAGTTTTAATTATCACTATTAGGTCTAGTTTTCAATAATATATAAGTCAAATCTAAATGATTCAGTTACAAATAACATACTCTGTATTATAACAATTAATGCACATAGTCTATTCAAATATATATATATATATATATATATATATATATATATATATATATATATATATATATATATATATATATATATATATATATATATATATATATATATATATATATATATATATATATATGTGTGTGTGTGTGTGTGTGTGTGTGTGTGTGTGTGTGTTAATTTGACAGGTAAAACAGGAAAAAAATTACCATAAAAAGAAACACTTCTTTCATTTGCTTAATGACAAAATCTGTTAAAAATGGGGTTTTAAAAGTACATCTCACAAGGTTGCGAGCGGCATTAAAATTAAGAAAATCACAAATGATATTTCATAAATAATACAGCTGTACTTGGAAGATTGATTCTAAACGTATTCTTTAAAAAAAAAAAATAGCATTTACACAATTATCTATAACATTGACATACAATCGTAAAATTTTTTAAATACACAGTAATCCAGAAATGTAGTTGATCACATTTGTCTTATAACATAACTATTCATCTCACAACATAATTTACAAGATTAAAGTAAAAAAAAAAGACCGAGATGGTTTATAAAAAATGATTTTTTTCTGCTCAGGGAATAAATTGGCTCACAAATATTTGGAGCGTATATTGTTCGTATATTCCCTTAAAACTTTAGACATGTCACAGAATCCCTGTCTCTCTGCGAGTTGTAAGGCAGTTTCTCCGGCATAAGACGTGGCATCCAAAGAAATGTTTTCTATATCTAACACGTAGTCCAGCAATTCAGAACTGTGTCTTTGCACGACACAGTGAAGAATAGTATAATTATACATGCCATCTTTAACATTCACATCGGCACCACTGGACACAAGCAATCTAAGTACACTAAAATGTAGACCGTTAGCAGCTAAATGAAGACAGGTCTGACCATTATAGTTGTGAGTCTCTATGCAGCTTATGACGACTTGTCTGTCTCCAGTATTTAGAATTGTTTTCACTATGTCATCGTACCCTTCTCTGCTGGCGATATGTAACAGTGTATCACCTTGGTCATCACAAATTCTTATATCCGCATTCTCTTTCATGAGAAAAGCAACGATTTCAACCATTCTTTGCAATGTTGCAGCATGCAGTGGTGTCTGCAGCTTTAAATTAGGAAAATTCAACCATCCCCTGTCAACAGAAACTATGCATTCTATAATGTAGATAACCGTCTGTACTTTCTTTTGCCATATAGCCGTATGGAGCTGAGTGTCACCATTTTTATCTCGACACACCATCTTTGAGAACTCTGTATTTTGTATTGCTAGAGTCGAAGAGCTAGAAGAAATGTTTAATTGCTTTAAGGGCTGACTAATTCCAGGGCTTTCTGGCGTTTTTCGTGGTTCATGTGGAGGTTCAAGCAGGCTTTGTTTCGACGAGATGAGATTGTCTTCTTTGAGACTTACATTTGAGATTCCCGAGAAATACCCTGACTCCGCGTCCTTGTGAAAAAATAAGGGACAGCCGTCCTCTTCTAAACTTGTATAGTTCATATCGTCCTCCATAGTTGAAGCTTTAAGTTCCATGATCTACAAAAAGTCAATTTATTTAAAAAAAATTGGAAAGAAAAAAGTTTTTTTTTTTTTGGTTCATATAAAATATTTAACTTACCAAGTGCAAGCGAAAGCATCAAAACACACACAAACCCTAAAGTCATAAATGAAAATTTTCAGCTGGTATAAATAGATTCATGGAAATCCCACTTGCGTTTTACATGGCATGTTCATGTGTAAGATATATATATATATATATATATATATATATATATATATATATATATATATATATATATATATATATATATATATATATATATATTAGCTTTCTCGGTATAGAAAAATTTAAGTTTCATGTGAAGTATTTCAATATTTCAAAACAGAAAAAAATGATTATCCACGTTAATGATGTGTAATTGAGACTTTCCTGTTTCTAAAAGATTTTTAATAGTAAATTAGTTAATGTCTCACTTAGAAAGGGAAGTCTACTTTTGTTTCGGCTAAAGTTGCAACTGTAAAGCTCCTGTAGTTTATTCAGAATAATAGAATGACTTATGATTTATAACCAAGGGATTCTTTTCTGGAGACTGGAATATATATATATATATATATATATATATATATATATATATATATATATATATATATATATATATATATATATATATATACTTAATAGTTTATTTTACTCGTTTATGCAATACAAAAACATACATAGATACAAACACGCATAGAAATATAAAAAAAAAACAAAAAACAAAAACAAACAACCAAACAAAAGGAAAAGAAAAAAAAAATGCTTATTATCATTTTCACTATTGCCTCAAATTGTTGATAATTAGTATATGGTTCGTACAAATTTCACATTTGTGTCTGAGAAAAACGAAGCATAGCAGCATTTGGGAAAAAAGAATTTAAGAATTTAAAAAGGTACGAAAAAAAAGATGATATTCAAGAAAAAAAACCTTCCTTCCCGAGATTCTACTGTTTTTTCCTGATGATAGTCTTTCCACAGAGACATGTAGGTCTTTTTTTGTACATGGAATAAAGAGTTGTTATCGTTTTAGGAAGCATTACTCGATAAAAAATGCAAAAGTTTTCAAAGCTCAACCAAAACTTATTTTATTTTTCTTTTAAAAATGGTTACCGTATGAAAAAATTGAGAATATTTCAAAGAAAACCAAATATTCTGGCTCAAAATACTTGTCATCGAATTTATATCATACATATAATAAGTATAGCTTTAAATCTTTATTACACATGTAAATTCTTTTATTATTTATTTATTTATTTATTTATTTATTTTAACGAATTCGAACATTGCAATCATTGTACATAATATATATTACATTGGAGACTGTGGTTGATTTAGAACTCACAATATGTGTATTTGATTATATCTTTTACATATATACCGGTAATAGATAAAGCACTAAGATGACCAATGACAAGAACAATAGCAATTGTCAAATTTGTTGGACACATTTTCACTTCCTCGGGACAAAGAAAAGATAAGAAAGCCATAAAATCAAAGGAAGTGGAAAAAACGACTAGATCTAACACTCTAAGGTACTAGTAAACCATATATATTTACAATTTTACATGTTTTGAAGATAAAAAAAAATCAATTGATTTGAAATAATTCCAAATCTCTATGTACTCTGATGAAGTGTGATTAACATTGATTGATTGATTGTTGTTGTTTAACGTCCCTCTCGAGAATTTTTCAATCATATGGAGACGCTATTTACATAATTGATGATTATGAATTTCTTATCTTTTCTTTAATTTAAGGAAGGAACAGGGTGTCCCAAATTTGACAATCTCTATTGTTCGTGTCATTGGTCATTTTTACTGCTATGTAAAATTTTCATTTCGTAACCTTGCATATATTTATTTAGTAGATCCATCAAGTATTACTTCGATTTTTCAATATACTTGCAGTTATGTGTTTGGTAATCACTACTACTAAACTCTTATCTGTTAATATCTTGTAACTTTGTTGTTATAACTTAAATTTTATTTGTTAATTCTTATTTTTATTTGTTGTTACTTAATAGTTATTGCTTAATTCTTATTTGTAACTTTTAGTTTGCATAATATTTATGATTGAACACATGAACATAACTACTATTTTATCTTGTCGTTAGTAATAAATTCAAAGGGAAAATATTACTTACTTTCTTCTTTCCTGAAACTACACTTAGCCTCTATCTTTCACGCAACGTTTTGGGGTTAAGGAAACGTGTGATAACAAATATAAAATAACAAGAATTAACAATTAAATCATAAGAATTAAGTCAAAACACCTAGAATTGCATAAAAATATTTACACATATGGGTCACAGTTTAAAATGATAAAGCACAGAAAAACATAACAATCAGATAATGGTTATTATTGCGTATATATTTATGAAGGAAAGGATTTACAGAGTTATTAGCAGACCTTTTTTTGTATTCATATGAAGCAGAATTTGTCCAAAATCTTGTACGTGAAAAGAAGAAAAATCTTGCTGTGACCTTCAACTCGACATTTAGATATATCGACGACGTATTGTCAATTAACAATGGCTATTTCCATTCTTATGTCGATACGATATATCCTTGTGAACTTGAGATAAAAGATACCACAGAGTCTGACACATCTGTTTCATATTTGGATATTTTACTTGAAAAAGACGTTAATGGTAATCTAACAACCAAGCTTTATGATAAACGTGATGACTTTAACTTTTCAATCGTCAACTTCCCTTACTTATGCAGCAATATACCTTCATCACCTGCGTACGGGGTATATATCTCTCAGTTGATTCGATACGCAAGAGCATGCTCTACGTATGTACAATTTCTAAAACGAGGTAAATTATTGACAAATAAGTTGATGAAACAAGAATATCAGCTGTCTCGTTTAAAGTCATCATTTCGTAAGTTCTATTGTCGATACAATGACCTTGTCAGCAAATACAATTTATCATTGAGTCAAATGCTGACTGACGTTTTTCACGCTAATTGTTAGGCCATTGTTTGCACACTGATTTGTCGACGGATTTTTCCATTATTTCTCGATCATGACAAGGAGCACACGGCGGGTGTGACCGGTCGGCAGGGGATGCTCATTCCTCCATGGCACCTGATCCCACCTATGATGTTTAGAGGTCCGTGTTTGCTCTGCTGCTCCTATTTTGTATTGATTAATGGACTTTTGAGCTTGAATACTGTTCGTTATCGCCATATATTTCATTGTAAGAACTTGTATCTAATCCCTTTGTATTTATTATACAAGAAAAAAAAGCAAAGCACAACAAATATCTATTATTATCTAGGATTATTTGTTATAGGATGAGAATTCAAAGTATATTCTATACAAAAATGTCCTTCAAAAAGTAATTCAAAATGATATGAATTGTCACTTAATTATGATATTCTATACACTTCATTTTTCTTTACGCTGATTAATAAAGAAGACATGATGATACCAAGTATACATGTGCAATTTGGTATAAAATATGCAGAGTGTACATGTTCAAATTGTTATAAAACTTGAACTTATGTCACTGATCAAAGTCTGCCCCGGTTACTATAGCACAGATTTAAAGAGAAAAATCACCAATGGAAGAATAGATCCCCGCTTACCGATTATCAATTTGAAAGACCTTCTATAGATCATTTATTTGCCTTTTGAAGAACTTGAAATAAATAAGATTTGTAAATAACACTTGATTAATTTTCGGCTTGTTATATATTAAATAGTTAAGATTATGTTCAATTTATTTCTATTCATTTGTCTTATCAGGTGTAAATCTACCTGGTTCATCTTTCACGCCTTTTCAGACAGTTTAATCTACTTTTAATTTACTCCATAGAAAAAACATTATTGAATATCTAAGAGGCTCATTAATTTCTCATCAGTTTTAGTGAATGCAGTGACAAATTAGTGACAGGATCTCATTGCCAATAGGAAATGTACTTTTCTGCCTATGCAGACCTTAATTTCATTTAATTTCAGTCACATATTTTAAATCATTACGAACGGAATTATATAGTTTGGCTTTGGCACATTGAAATTCATTTAGATTCTTGAAAGATGATTCTGTTTGTGTTTTAAAGTAGATTTTTTACTAGTACTGCTGTACTTGCATTTCCGCGTTATCCACAACATAACTTTTAAGTTTTCTTAATTTAAACGCTTTTTAAAACTACTATTATTTTTAGAAATATGGAATAGCGTATCCGTTTCACTCCCAAAACTTACAGATAATTCCTACTCAGGCCTTCTATAAATAAAACATATCAATAAAACACTGATTGGTTGTGTTTTCATTCCTAACAAAAACACTGGATTTCAAAAGAAATGGTATATATGAATAGATGTACAAAATAAACTATCCAATAATATAAACAGTCAAATGGTGATCGATTGCAATTAGAAAGAAATAAAGCAAAATTGTGTAAATGAGATTAAATATTTTGTAAGGATTTCTATTCAAGAAAAATTTAAACAAGTTTATTGTATTCAATTTAAACAATTTTCGCTACACTGCATTTTATACTGAACAGGTAAATAAGACAGGCTTGAAATTAAAAGAAACTATTGTATCATTATCTCTAAACTTATACATATGTTATGAATAAAAACTTATCAAAGTTCGATATCCGATTATGAAACACTACACACTGCATTTCAAACAGATATTCCCCAACTGTTCCATCAAACTTTTCAATTAATAACAAATCCTACAGTGTCTAGCTGTTGACCATTTAAAACGCAATCCTTGTTAGTTTTCCTCCGCTTCAACTGTAGTCCTACTGACCACTATTATATTATTATTGGTCATTTTGATATCAATATAGTTGAAAATAACGACCAGAAACCAATTATCAAATAGCTGAACAGCCCAAATCTTTCAATTGGCGACAAAACTTCGTACCTTTTGCAAATTCCGACGATCAGAATGCAAGACGATGGGCTAAATGTTAGGGGAAATACCTCGATATATTGTAAGAATGGATTAAGTGTTGAAAAATTATATTTA